CACCACAGGTCTGAAAGGGGACAAAATGGGATAGGTCAGGAGTCCCTGTGTTTCCCCAACCACACCTCCATTTCATCCTCATCCCTGAGTTGGGCTGGGCTGGGAGCTGCCCCTGGAACAGCAGTTTCCAAGGTGTGAGAGAAATGGAAGCCGCTTGTGGGCAGGAGGAAGGTCTATACGGTTTGGAAATTCAGCCCCAGAGACACCAGGAGAAAAAAGAAATAAGGCCAGAGGCTCACAGCATCTCTGTTGACTCACTCGCAATGCCCAGGAGAAATGATTGCCCTGCTTCTCTCAGGACAATCAAAGACTGGGCCTGGCCCTCCGCCCCTGAAATCTCAGGGTGGAGGCAGACAAGAAGAAAACAGCTCAGAATTGCCCTGGGGGCCCCCATTAGAGACACCTGCCATCTGGTCCCTAACCAACCCACGCAGAGCTCTCTGCCTGCCACCTGCGGCCTAGCCCCACAGACCATATGGTTGCTCTCCTAATACCGGAAGACGGGTGGCCCCTCCCTGCATTCCCCAAAGCGTGGCCACTACCCAGCAGGAGGGCAGACTTCCTGGACCACCCATTCAAGCCTCCCTCACTAGACCCCTTTCCGCAGTCCAAGTCCCAGACCCAGATGCGGACTCCAGGGGGGATTTTTAGGTGGGAAGACCGCGGCCCGAGTGTGGCAACCCAGGTCCCAGCCTCCTTCCTTGGCTCCTGCAGGATGGGGGGAAGCGCTTAGAAAGTCTTCCCTCCCCCAGCAGAAAGAAGAGAGACTCTCTGGAGTCCCAAGCCCTAGAAGTGGTGAGGGAGAGAAATTCCATAAAAAAGTGGAGTGATGGAGGAGGGGAAGTTGGGCTCCGTGGAGCAGATGTGGGAGTCTTAGGCCAGGAGAAGAGTTAAGGGCAGGGCCAATTCGTCTAGGGGCCTGCTGTCTGGCCGGATGGGGGCTGGGGGAATGGTTCCGAATTCCAGGCCACAAAGCTTCCACAGTGAATGCTGGGGCATCCTGGGGCAAGGAAGCGGGAGGGATGGTCCTGGTGGAGGGAAGGGAGAGGGCTCGGGGGTCAGAGTGGTCTTGGGGTCGGGGCAGGCAGGCCCAAGACGACCGGGTGGAAAGGTTGGAGGGAGGTAGTGCCGGGGCGGGGGACAGTGCACTCACCTCTACCCGGGCTCGGGCCAGGCCGCGCAGACGGTCCCAGTTCGGCCGGTATGTGGTGACGGCGGTGGCTGGGGCCCCCAAGCGCCGCGGGAAGTGGGGGGTAGCAGGAGATTCATCAGGATCCGGCCGGAGATGATCCGCGAGCTGGAGGCGAACCACCCGACCTCTGCGCCACGTCTGGGCCCGCAGGCTGGCCCCGCCCCGACTGGAAGCCACGCCCCGTAAGAGGCCACGCCCCCAGCACGCTGTTCCCTCCCCAAGCCTCGCCCGGGGTCTCCAGCTATCACCAGGCGCAGTCCCGGCTCCTTTCTAGCTCTGGGCCCTTCGTTTTCCCAGTCCGGAGAGTGTCTATGGTCAGTGCTGACCGAGGACGTGGACGCTTCCGCAGGACGCAGCCAGACGGTACCACCTCACACCGGCAGGGGGTGCGGGCGGGACGCGGACGGACCCGGGAGTTTCACCAGAATTTCGCCTATGAGAGGGAAACTGAGCCCTGGGGAAATCCTTGGTTGTGCTTTTAATTTCTTTGAAAGAAATTCTGATCAAGGTTTTGATTCCCCAGAGCACGCATTGTGGTGATAGAAATATAACCTACCCTGTAGGGGTTGGGAGAAAGAAAGTTCTTTAGAACCGTATCCCGTACAGTGCTGGCTTCCACTGTCCCTTCATTCCTTACCTGAGGGCCCCAGGAACTCCGTTTTGCAGGTTAGGAAACAGGCTCAGAAAGGCTTGAAATGAGAAGGCTGTGGATCTGGAATTTGAACCAGACGTCTTTAAGCTCATCTCATCACATCAAAGATGACAGATCAGAATGCCACGTCCTGGTTCATGCCCCCAGCAGGCACAGAGAGTGACCGCTGCGCTCTTTCTCTAGAATCTATCCTTCACAAACTTAAGTCTAGACAGCGCTGATTTTTGTGGATCCTAGGACTTTTGTGGATCCTTTTTACCTTCTCGGGCCCCTTCTATTTTTTTTTTTTTAAGAGTTATTTTTGTGGGACCAGCAGTTAGCGTAATGGCTATGTCGCTGGACTCCCATGTGGTCGACCACGGTTCACGTCCCGGACCCAGTGGCTTAAAACCCACGCTGGGAGCATGTGCGTGCATGCCCAAGATCCCGAGAGGAGAATGGAGGAGAAGGGATTGCGGCGTGGCCATCTCCCCTGGGGGGTGATTTCTCGCTTTCTGTCTCTGTCTGTAGAGCACACGCGCTCTATGGCAAAAACCTCTCCAGCAAAT